GGCGGTAACCTCCAAATACATGGTTGTCGTGTCGATCTTCTTGGCATCATCCCCGATACCAAGAGCCTTGAAGTATTGCTCCATACTCCACACAAAGTTCTCTATCTCCTTAGCATTCCTAGCCCCTTTATACGTCTTGGGTCTAAGGACATCAACCTTAGAGGGAGTAGGACTTACCTCACTAGACGATGTGCTTCCTCCTTGCACGACCGCCTTCTTGCATAGGACCAGCTCTTCCTTGGTTTCCACCAACTCCTTGGTGACCTTATTCAACTCTTCCCGTAGTGAACCAACCATGGTCATCATAGTCCCCTCCAAGCCCTTGACCTCGGAAAGACATCGGTCGAGGATCTCATTGACCGCTCCTTGAACCTCACCTCGAAGATCTTCACTATTCTTCGCAAGTTCCACGATGCGTTGGTCAACTTCCTCAAACCTTTCTTCCCTATCGGCTATGGCAAGCTCCACCTGGGCTAGCCGAGTCTCCACCTCTGTCATGGCTTCTCGAGACTTGGACCTTCCCCTCTTGGTTTGCTTCCCGGCATCCATGTGAGTTGTCTCACTATCTGAACCGGCCATATCTTCTCAGGGACACGAAACCAACCTGGCTCTGATACCAACTGTCACGGACTTATTCACGAACCCGTGCGGCACTAGCACACTCACTTTGAACTTATGCTAGTCAGCCTAACTCTTGCGGAAACTGGGACACCGATTGTGGGGAAACTCGTACAAATGCTTTATTGCTCTCAAGCTTTCGATGATACAAATGAGACAACCATGAGGGGTATTTATACTTGTCATCCTCCTCAATGGACGGCCTAGATCTACTTGATCTGACGGCTACAATTTAATTCTAGAGTATTCTATACAAGTATACTAGTATTCTAGAGTATTCTACTCTACTCTATACAAGTATACAAGTATCTACATGAGTCTAGAATATTCTCTAAGCCTTTGAAAATTTGTCCCTTCCTCTTAGGCATCTCTAGACTCCGGCTGGTACTCGGCCCGGACTATGTCGCTGCCTACTTATGTGCCATGCCGCGGCATATTACTCTGTTATGTTGTGGCATTCAGGAGAGTCGTGACAGAAGCCATGGGAGATGAGATGAAATCCTTGCAGAAGAACCAGACTTATGACTTGGTGCCACTTCCCAAAGGAAAGAAAGTCTTGAAAAACAAATGGGTTTTCAAGGTGAAGAAAGATGTCAATGGTAATATTGTGAAACACAAGGCAAGACTCGTGGTCAAAGGATTCCAACAGAAGCAAGGAATTGACTTTGATGAGATTTTTTATCCAGTTGTGAAGATGATGTCGATCTGAGTTGTACTTGGGTTGGTTGCCAGTCTAAATCTTGAACTTGAACAGATGGATGTGAAAACTGCATTTCTCCATGGTGATCTAAAAGAAGAAATATACATGGAGCGACCTGAAGGTTTCCAAGTTCCAAAGAAAGAACATCTTGTCTGCACGTTAAAGAAGAGCCTCTACGGTCTCAAACAAGCTCCGAGACAATGGTACAAGAAGTTCAACTCATTCATGGTAAAGCACCAATACAAAAGAACAGTTGCAGACCACTGCGTGTACCTGAAGAAGTTCCCAGATGGAAAATTTATCATCCTTTTGCTCTATGTGGATGATATGTTTATAGTAGGCCAAGATGTCTCTCATCAACAACTTGAAGCTAGATTTGTCTAAGTTTTTCGATATGAAAGACTTGGGCTCGGCGCAACAAATTTTGGGCATGAAAATTGTTCATGATCGAAAGACAAGGAAGTTGCTCTTATCACAAGAGGAGTATGTTGAACGCTTGATCAAAAGGTTCAACATGGATAGTGCCAATCCTGTAGGCACTCCGCTAGCCAATCATTTCAAGTTGAGTAAGGAAAGTTGTCCTTCTTCTGAGAAGACTGTTCACTTGTTTTCACCCTTTATTGTCGAAAGGTTGTTTACTCTAAAAACAAATACTATTCAATCGAAGAAGAAGCGGGGGTAATTAAATCGTTTGACTAATAAACGAATAATGAAAGCAAGTCACACAATAAGAGCGGTAAATAGAGACAAGAGACATATAAACATTATTAAACAAAATCATTCTCATAAACATTACTCCCTCCAGTCCCAAATGAAATTCACACTTTCCTTTTTGGGTTGGTCAAAAACAAACTTCACATTTCTTCTCTCTTCCTTATTTGGCAAATTATCTACATCAAAACAGTGTCAAACAGTGTCACAACAGTGTACTCTACAGTAAAGTCAAATTTATTTCCTTAATTTGTGTGAAGTCAAAGTGTGAATTTCATTTGGGACCGGAGGGAGTACTAGTTAACACCCGGGGCATGCCCCGGTAGTGTTAATTTGATATGAGTTCAAATGATAATACCAATAAATTAAACACCGTGACAAATAGGATATGATGAAAAGTTTGACTATAATCAATTTCTTTTATGAACTAACTCCATCATGAAAGATGGATGAAGAATCATCATCTTTTGAAGTATGAATTTGTGGTTATAGTGTGGTTTATGTGCTAGCAGTTGTAATAGTTATTAATTATTTAGGGCATCTCCGATGCATGGGTGAATTGGGATGCCAAATAAGCAAATGCAGTTTCTATGTTAATATGTACTCTCCGATGGTGATATAAATGGACTCCAATGAGACCCTCGGTGCCACCTTCTGACACAACATCCAAGCAAATACAAAGCTTTTCTTTATCTCTTTCATCACCTTTTAGTTTTTTATTTGTTTTCCCCCTTCCGCACTGAAGCTCCCTTCAAATGCACCTTACCTTTCTTGCTCACATTGGGTCTAGACCTTCTCCATTTATTGGCCACATAAGCTCCAATGCACTCAAGCATTGGAGATGATGAATGATGATAAGAAGTGTTGAAGTGGAATTGTGAGTATTTGGAGTTTACATTATTTTCGATAGTCTTCTTACAAAAATAGGACTAATGCACCAATTTAGTAAACATAAACTTATTGATTTTTAAGTAATATAATTTTTTTCTTCTGTACAATCCCTTTTCGTTCTAATTTCTTCTATATTTTCCGGTATTCTTTTCGTCCTTGACATTTTTCCTGTTCCAAATGGATCTGATACAAACAATCTTGTAGTTTAAGAGCTACGTAGTATATCCCAACCAATTTTGCAATTTAAAATGTACAATGAATGACTGGTTGATAAATTAATTTATCAATAACAACATCTAATTTACCATGGATGTTTTAAGAAACAACTATAGTATTAATTTAATGACTATAATATATGTTATTCACAAAAATGTGACCCTTTAAGTGTATGATTACAATAGTAATTTAATCATAGTAATTTACGTTCAATTTTGTACTTAAATAATTATGAGATTATATTGTAGTAAGTTAGTAATTATTACTCCCTAATATACATTTTATTAATAGGTTTCATTTCATTAATCTTTTTGAAAAAAAAAACTCATATTTAAAACTTAAACGACTTAAATACCCAAACTTTGAAGATTTGTGATGTAAGCGCTCCAAATTTTTATATGTAATATTTATACCCCGAATTTTATATAAAAAATAATATTAGTATCATGAGCATATGTTTTTTTCTTTCACAATGTAAATTTATGATGTTTTTAACTACACTTCTATAAAATTTAAGTATTTTAAATCATGTGTTTAACACCATATATTTACATTTTTGAATAAAAAAATACACAATAATGGTGATAACATAATTTTTTACGTAAAATTCGATGTATATATATGTAGTAATAAGTTTAAAGTGCTTGTATCACACTCGTTCAAAGTTTGATATATTTAAATTATTTTGTTGATAAATAGCGTATACTCAATACCATAAGGATTCGGAAGATAAAAAGAATCGAATGCATGAATCAGGGGTGGAGACAGGGAAGGGCTGGAGGGGGCCTCGACCCTTACAAGAAGAAAAAATCTGATGTAAATATTATGTATAAATACTTTTAATCTATAGAAAATATGTTAATTTTAATCTATATAAAATTTTGAAGAACCAATCCTTTTAACACTAAATTTCTCGCACTACCCCTCGCATGAATGATGAATCTGTTGACTACATGAAGTGATAAAACTTGAAAGTGGCAAAAGGAGTATTTTATTTATCCTTTCATAAATCTTAATTTTTAGGAAAAATTGATTGTAATAATCCCAACTATTAGCGATCTGCTCATAATAATCCCAACTATCGATTATTTCAGGGAGAAGGGTCAGATAGGGTCTCAAACTTACAAAAAATGTCAAATAAAGTCTTATATAAGATAATCTGTCCGGCCGACGCCATTTGGGGCGGTTCTCGATGGATTTTTTTGATGATTTTTTTTAGAATCTTATTCATTAAGTCTAGTTTAGTCATATCAAATTTGAACTAAAAATTCAATCGATGAGACATTCAAATAAATTCTTGAAGATAACTGCGTTTTTAACTGCACATTTATTTTCAAGAATTCATTTGAATGTCTTCCCGGTTGAATTTTTAGTTCAAATTTGATATGAGTAACTAGACTTAATGAATAATTTAAGTTCGAAGCTCTATCTGTCACTGATCCCATTATTTCAGAATAATCCCAACTTTAGGGACCTTTCGCCAACAATGGTCCGACGTGACCGACTATAAATAAATTACTATAGTTTCTAAAGAGATATGGCAGGTAATCCCTATAAATAATCCCAAATTTTAATTTTTACGCTTAATTTCTATTAAAAATTCACTTGTTAAAGCAGATAATATGCGATCATAGACCATTATTGGTGGACGGTCCATAAAGTTGGGATTATACAAAAATAATAAATAGTTCGATTTATTGTTAGCGGACCGACAATAATTGAGATTATTATTTTCAATTTTTCTGAATTTATGTTTTTACCTTGTGGTTAAGTCAAAGTCAAACAAGAAAATGAGAGGCCGACAAACCATCCTTGCAACAAGTGATGGCAACCTTCACCGGGATCCACCGACAATGATTGAATCTCCAACTTGAATTATTACAACTCCAGCTCTTCCCTTCTTTGTGAGACATTCACACACTCGGCCTTCGCTGGTAAAGAACAGAGGGTGAAGGAGATGGGCTCTGTCTCTCTCAAAACTGGAAGCGGAACGGCGAGATTCAGAAGGTCTTCACTTTGTTCCTCCGCTTTGAATTTGTTTATCCTCTTCTCAGTAATCACAACAAACATCTTTGCTCTCTTCGCTTTCACTTACTTCCCAAAGACCCATCAGAACAATGAAGATATCTCTATAGTCTCTCAACAGCTCTCCTTGATCCTTGGAGAGATTGATTTTTCTCAGAGGAAGCTCTCACAGATGCAGAAAGAGCTCCTGGGCTATGAAAGCCTCGATCTTTCCAGATCAAACGTCTCAGATGAACTGAAAACCTTTCTTCTTCCCCACCCACTCCCTCTAGGCAAAGATTCAAGAACTGGGATCACTGAAATGGTGGCCTCCGTCGCCCATTCTTGTCACAAATCTGCCGATTTGCTGACTAAGTTCATGACCTATAAAGTCAACGATCACTGCCCGGACGACTGGAGTCTTGGTCAGGATCTGATTCTCAAGGGATGTGAGCCTTTACCAAGGAGAAGGTGTCTTTCCAAGATTACCCCTAAGTTGGGTTTGCAACCTTTTCCTGCTTCTCTCTGGGTTTGGAAGAAGAACATAACTGAAAAGGGTCTAACTTGGAGTGGCCTTTCTTGCAAAAGCCTCTCCTGTTTGAATTCCAAGAAGCTGAACAGAGATTGCGGCGGCTGTTTCGATTTAGTCAAAGGGTATGAGACTCTGAAGTACGTTAAACCAAGAGGGAAGACCGATTTCTTGATTGATGATGTGCTGGAGATGGCGAAGAACCGTAACAGTGTTATCCGGGTCGGGTTTGACATCGGCGGTGGGTCGGGAACTTTTGCCGCGAGAATGGCGGAGATGGGTCTGACCGTTGTGACCTCAACTCTCAACGTTGACGCACCGTTCAACGATTTTATTGCTTCCAGAGGACTTTTCCCCCTTTACTCTAGCCTGGATCAACGGTTCCCGTTCCAGGATAACGTGTTTGATCTGATCCGGGCCGGCAGTGGATTGGACGTCGGCGGCCGCCAGGAGAAATTGGAGTTCTTGATGTTTGACATGGATCGGATTCTGAGGGCCGGCGGATTACTTTGGGTTGATAGTTTCTTTTGCTCTAATGAAGAGAAAAAGAATGGGTTGACCCGTTTGGTTGAAAGATTTGGGTACAAGAAGTTGAAGTGGGTTGTGGGAGAGAAGATTAACGGTTCTGGAAAGTCCGAGGTTTATCTGTCTGCTGTGCTTCAAAAACCGGTCAGAGTTTAGAACAAAGCAATAATTCCATTTTTCCTTCATATTTTAGAGAATTTATGGACATCCATTGTGATGGGTTTAGCCTATCTATCGGGTTTGACAGACCCACTGATTGCTCCATGGGTCAAGCCGTCAAGGTGGATCCGAATACATTTACACGTCCCGGAAGGAACCATTATACTATCAATGGAGTATTATACAGCATTAAAATTGTAATGTTTCAGACATTCAATGATACGAAGTAATAAAAACACAGTACTGTTGAGTGGTGAGTTTGGTTGAAGTTGATGGAATTCCTAAAATTATGGTACGTGTTGGCCAAATTGTTAAATTCTGATAGTAGATGGAAAAAAAGTATAAAGTTGAAATGATCATCTGAAACCAAAATGGGTAAACATCTTTCTCCATATATTTTCATTATTATTTATTAACAAATTTAACGAGCATAATGTTGGTAAAAAAAAATCTGGTTGATAAGTAGAAATACTTCAAACAGAATCTACCAAACAAAACCACCCAAATGCAAGAACTATTAAATACTTGAATCAGAAGAGCAATTCTTACAAATATTTGACACTTGCTAGAATACAGATTTGACAGCTAAATGGTACAACAATGGTTCAGCTAACTGAGGTGAAAAAAAAGAGGAAAGAACTGATCTTTCATTTCTCCTGATAGGCAACAAATGGATCATCAGAGTGAAGAGACACGACCCGTTTGTTGTATAGCATTGGCGTTGAGAAGCTGCATTCCTTCCTCCCCCATCTGCTGAACTTCAGATGGCGAAAGTATTCTTATGCACCGCACACAGCCCACAAATTCCCTGCCGTGATAAAATCATATAAACCATTACGTTATTTTCGCATAATCAAACAGAGCCAAAACAAGAATGCCATTAGCTGTAAAAACAACTTACTCCCAAGGGTCATCACCAACAAGAAGAACATCGTTCTCAAAATCCACATAGACCAATTTCCAGTCAGAGCCTTTCGACTCATTTAGCAGCCCCTCAAGTCCAAACATCCTTTCAATTTCCGAACGCAGTTCATAATAATTACTAAAACCAGACACATCAATTGATCTTCCTACAGATCCCGCCTTCTGAATCTGTCAACAATGGAAAACAACAAAGATAGTCATTGTTAAGACACTGAGTGTCACACATTGAACATTTACCAGAAATATATCTAATAGACAAGTGTGAAGTAAAACTCATTTTGGGGTGACTACAGCCAAATTTACTGTGGTATTACAGCCTTATCAGCTTATCTCATTGGGCTTTTAATTTGTTCTGTTAGACCCTTATATATTTGGGTAACCTTTCAAGTTGTTCGTCAGTTTTGAACTGAGAGGGGTGTTAATGTCCAATGTATGTTTAGCAACTTCATACACATATATAAAGTTTTAGCGTTAGAAATGCAAACTTTCATTTTATTTCTTTTGATACACTATTATGTTTAACCAATGCACTTTCACAAGATTTTTTTTTTTTTTGCTAGATAATAGAAAAAATTCAGTTGATTATGAAAATGACCCCACACAACTCATCACTTTAGCTTGCTTGACACTTTTAGTGCCATTGGATCTCAAATTCAGCGCGCTAGATGTATTCTCATTTGTTACTGTAAGCACTCTTCTCATTTGATCCAAATTATATAGATATATACCTTTGTGTATGTGCGTACACGTGGTGGTGGGGGTCCCAACTGATGCCACGATCTGTTTTGCAAAAGACCACTCTCATCAAACTCTGCATTGCTGGAAGATGCGCCACCCGAGTTGTCAGCAAAATCTTGTAATGAAGTAATCTGGGATTGTACATCCTGACTTGAAGTGAAGTTTCCCACTAATAGTTCTGCTGGATTTTGTAGTCCGCTATTTCTCAAGTTGCAGAATTCATTCAGAACCACGCTCGAAACTGAAGGGTCAATCACAGCACTTCCATTGTTACTACCGTCAAAATTAAGACAACTATAATCATTCAACTGACCATCCCACAATTCTTGACCCGTGGGAGGGAGATATGAATTCCATTCCCTGGTATCTCCAGGGCATTGAAGAAAGCACTCCGGGTCGTCAAATTGTGGTGGTAGGGCCCATGGGCTTCCTCCTTGATCATTTGCAGCATTAGTGGGAGTAAAGGGTAGTAGTTTTTCTTCATCGCAGTGACCAAAAGACTGAAAATGACTAAGCTGATCTGATGGGGTCACTATAGTAGTTTCTGGTTTTTCCATGTCATTTTGTTGCAAAGGAACTATGGGTTCATTGACTATACTGTTGTTACTTTCGCTCTGAATAGATGAAGTCTCTTCCATAGTAATTGCTTCCTCGGGTTTATGCTTCATGGTTGACTTGGTAAGAGTAGTCTCTTCTTGAGCCATTGTTTCTTGGGGCCTTAGTAGCATTTTCATTACTTGATCAGACCATGTATTTGAGATCGAAGGGAACTGAATATCCCCACATATGTTTTCAGGACCTCGGGTAAATGGTCGGTTGACCAAACTGTTCCATTCGGTTTGCGTTCCTGATTCAAATCATAATAATGTGTTGATTTGAGGATTATATATTATAGTTTTTTTAACCAAACAACCGAACAATGAAAAAAAGGACTTTCCGTGGAAAGAGCTAAGAACCAAACTTACCAAGAAAAGAAGACTGAAAAGATCGTTTGAGACCAGAAGTGAGGGATGGGAAAATGAAGAGACTTTCGGGTGTCTCTACTTCCCAAGGACTGACTCTATTCTGTTTATCACCTGATCCCTGCTCGTCCCACTCCACCTGTTTTTTCACAACCATAGGTGTAAATTTCTGGTAATTCTTTTAATAATTAAGTGTGGAAGTTTTCTTATAATGATATAAGTCATATAACCAAGTGAGAACTCGTTTACAAAAACATGACTGCGTGTTTACGATAGTCAATTGTGAAATTTCATTGTGGTCACTACAATCTAAAATTAAATAATAGTGAATTCACTATAGTCATCGCGAAAATACTACTTGGGTCCCACCTATTAAAAGGTCATGTTTTCCCATTATTAGTACTTTAGCCATATATTTCTCATATTTGCTTTAATCTATCATAATATCAGTTCATCAATCACCTGAAGGCAGCGCCATTTGGAGCCGGGCCATCTCAATGGGTCTAAGTCACTTAAACCTATAATTGTGCCCATATACCTACAAAGAGTATACACACAACATTGTACCAAACTTGCATAAAAGATGAAAGTAAAAGACAATGAATCGAAGAATCGATACAATATGAGAGCTACAAACCTGCGTTTTCCAGATTCCTCTGTTTCAAACATCATACCGAACCTCATACCAGGTGATAAGTGTGTTCCATACAAGGATTTCCGGTATTTGGCCAACGGTATAACAAAATTTGAAGGGCAGGCCCTGCATATGTCAAGATGAATGATAAAAGGTGGGTAGAGACGAAGTAGAGTGATTTATCTGACATATGAAAGATTGGCAAAATTCAAATAAAACCTGAGAATGTCTTTTTACTTTTCATTGAATCGCTTTGGAGAGAATTTAGGGCATGTTTGGTTCAGGAGTTTCGGAGCAGAGGGAAGAGAAGGTATGATATTCATGTTTTAATTTATTCTAACATTTGGATGATTCAAAAGTTAAGCATTGTTTAACTTAACATAGAGCTTTTTAAGTTACATCAAAATAGAAACTAAACATATAGTTATTTTTAGTATAAGATTCTAGTTGCATCTTGTATATGACTCAAACTAAAAAATGAATCCTCTCTTTCCCTCACCACCAAAATCCTCAAACCAAACAAGCCATACGAGACATAAGAGGGTTGTAGAGCAAACCTAGGATTGTAGAAGATTGTGAAAGGGGTTCTGTTGGAAGCAGCATGGGCAGCAGCAGCAAGAACACCAATGTGCATACTATCAGCAGACAGAACTGATGATGGCAATGTTGTTTGCTGACGGTTTGCACGCCTCACCCCAACCAACAGTTGAGACCTTTCATCCCTGCACTCGTACATTAAACACACACACTCCTCTGAGAGCAATATAACGGTGGTTGGGTCTTAAGATAATGTATAAAATCCAAGAACCAACTTTCCCCTAGTTTAAAATGTGGAGGGAAAAAAATGAATAGTATTCAAGAACTCGGTGCAATCATTACCTGATGAACAGAACGGAGTCACCAGCTCTAAGCCGCTTTGCACCAACAAACATGCTCCAACCTGTTGTAAGTAGGTGCCTTTTAGGCTGCCCTAAACATCAAAACAGGCAAAATTAACACCTATAATAAATCCTCGAAACACTAAGAATGGCATCCATGAAAAAAGAAAAGATATATAACTACACAGCATGTATACCACGGTATATGTGACGAAAAGTCCAGGTATTATCATGCAAGTCTCGTACAACAAGCTCCTGGGTTGGAGGTTGCATTGAGTAATCCTAAAATAGAGAAGTGAACATTAACTAAATAATCCATAGAAAGTAGAACAAAGTATCCACAGGTTCAGCGAGAGATGGGACCCGGCAGCTTACCAATAAAGGAAACAGTTTCTCAGCTGCTCGTCTTGGAACAGAGAAGCCACCATGTGTACTTGTGTCACTAGCAGTCAATGTTTTGCAGAAGAACTCTGCTGGATGCTTGCTTGGTTTCAAACAAAAATCAGGAATTGGGAACACATCTTTTTCCTGATGAATTACGCAGCAGATTTTTAATTATTTTCTCTTCATATCTTGTCAAATATCAAACTTATACGCCATCCATCCCAAAAGAAGGTTCCTCTTTCAACCCTTCCCCCAAATAAAACAAAATAAAAGAGCATAGTGTATGACCCTAAGAAGTTGTTTTATGTAACTTTCTACAAAAAAGAGTCACAAGCAAGGGACATAAGTCATAAAGGATATATTTAGTTAAAGCAACAAATATATTTGGAAGGCCATACCAAAAGTGAACACTTTTGGGGGGTGGAGTGAGTAAATAATACTACGTACTACAATATTAGTTATTTAGCGAAGCTTACAGAGTTCACAGGTTGAAGGCTCATCTGTGCATAGATCTCGTCTGTTTCTTTATCAGCCTAATAATGAAAAAGATAAAAATTCTTTCATATTCATATGGAATAAGCACAGACAACCTTAACATTGTTTTTTTGTTGACATCACCTTAACATTGTGGTTGAAAGAACAATATTTGCATAAACAGAAAGAAATGAAATGCTTATGAAAGTATAGTAGGAGTTTACATGCAGTGTAACATTGTGAACTTGACACAACAGCTGAGA